TTCTATTTCATAATTAGGACTAATGGTCATTAAATTCAGTAGACTCCATAGATTTAGAATAAACTGTGGTAGACTCTAAGTAATTTCGTACAACGTCACAAAACGTGAAATTACAATAAATCTTTTGTCATCCGTAGAAATATCTATCTTTATGTAATCAAGTTATTTAAATATGGGTCAGCTTAGTAGCATGTTTAAAATGATATCATAAGGTATTCTCATCCCTTATATCAGTTTTCAACCTTCTAGCATTTGACTTGAACTCTATGTATTTCCATAAATTATATTCTTGAGCTATTCACCATATAATATAATTAATTATTAATTATACAGCGTGACGATGGTGATGATGTAATGATAAATGAATCATTAATATTTTGATACAGTTTGCTTTATGTCAAATAAAATTTAAACAAAGTAAATATTTGAATATTCTAAATAAGTTAAATAAACCATTCATTGGTGTAGCGTGCTGGATATTTCCTTGGCCCCTCATAAATGTGAGCCGTGGTAGCTCAGATGGTTAGCGCTCGCTGTAAGTTTCACAGAACGCTAGCAATCCGGATGCGATCCCCGCCTGCACCAGTGAAATTTTAAGTGCTGATTTACCACGTGCTCGGCGGTGAAGAAAAACATCGTGAGGAAACCGGCATGTCCGAGAAATAAGAAAAAAATTATTTCGAAGACATGTGACGTTCGAAAATATCTACGCATTAGGACCGCACGGCTGACACTTCCTTGTCCCTATAAACCCCCTCAGAAATGAGTTGAGGCCTGTGCCCAGCAGTGGGACGTATATAGGCTGTAACTTTAACTTATATGTGTGGCGTATGATTTTTATGTCCGGACGAGGAACGCAAAGAGTTTGAATTGTAGTTGATCTATTCATTGTGACATTGCCATTGACACTATAATTTGTCTTATTTTAGTTAAAAATACAAACATAATAAATGAAATGTGCTTATTACCTGATTTGTCTGTATATTATACTTGTTTTAAACGTTTTAAAATTTTTACTAACTGTTATTTTTTATTCGTATTTTATTTTTATTATCAAATTATTATAGCTCTTTATTAATGATTATAATCATATAATATTGCCTATAATTGAATAAAATATGTATAAGTATGGTTAAAAATTTATTATCACGCTTTTAAAGATGTTTTTCCTTTGTATTTTTCATAACTTTACACACAATGAATTGATTTCTTAAAATATAAAAATAATAATAATTGTAAGTAGGTAAAATAGTTCGTCGGAACTTTAAAAGAAAAACGAAACATGACTTACCTGTATTAGAAATACCAAACTATCACTGCTTGAATACTCCGTCCAGAAAGACGTTAAACAAGCCTTTAATATCTATTGTAATTGGAGCAAAACATGTGACCTTCTCTAACTTATGAAATAATTTTGATGCATGTACACTAATATAAATTCTTGGCTCTTTGTAAAATCAAAATCGTGTTTATAAAAAAAAAAACTTTCATACGAAATTGTATTTTATTAAAAATTCACAATTGTCCATATTACAAATTTTCATAGTACATTTAATCAAAGACTTCTATGTATACTACAAAACGGACTGCGGTTTTAATACGTTGCGCACTAATTTACGGTCAATTCTTCATAACACTTTTAGTCGATTGCGAGCGGGCGAGAAAAGACTAGTTCTTTCTTTTGTAAACTTTTGTTGATGTTGATTTTGTATAATGTTACTAAGAAAACGGTGTCATTATTTATGTGCGCACCTTGTCAACGTGATACTAAGTTTCGTTTAGATAAGTATGTAACTTTATTTAGTGTTTGCCTAAAAAGAGTAACTGTCGTAAATGAAAATACAACTGCGTGACCGCGCGATCCACAGCGGTGTATTTTTTGTCCTGGATTGCCGAACTAGTAGTATATATAGAATTCTTTACATTTAACATTAAATTATTCTAATTCTATAATGAGTACAACACATTTTACATCATTCCTCAATAAACGAATGATATCGAATATTGTTTTATTTGAACCTTTGCATCTCATTTAGCAAACATTTTGTCCTAACTCGTCGTTTTAAGATATGGCAACAAAAACAAAACTAAGCCTTGAGCTTAATTATGACTGTTCAAAACATTTTAAATCGTACATTCCGGAATTTAAAGCTGAATTTCATAAATTTCAATTAATGAACAGACATTTTATTTACAGAACTAATATGCATTTGATAGTACGTCTGTCTTTTACTAACCCCCTAAACAGAGGGGTGTTATATGTTTATAGTGTGTATCTGTGTGTCTGTCTGTGGCATCATAGCTCTGGAACGGATGAACCGATTTTGATTAAGTTTGTTTCGTTTGAAAGGAGTCTTAATCAAGAGTTTTCTTAGCTATGTATTAAGAAAATCTGTTTAGCCGTTTGAAGATCATCAGCTCTTTTTGTTTCAGGTTTTTTTTTAATTTTTGAATTTAAGTTACTAGAATATCCTATAGTTGCCTAAACGGTTAAAGATCTAACAGTCCACCATATGAACAAGGGATGCTGTTTTCTTTGGACACATGAAACCAACTTCAAATAAAGTAGACTACAGGTGCGATCAGCTCTCGGAACTAATCTTCATACCCTTCAAACCGTTACAGAGCAATGGATGTACTTCCGTTTGGCATCATAAAATATGTAAAACGATGAACTCGGGAACTGAAAAGGAGCTCTATCATTCAGTGATTTAACATATTTTTTTTTTAAATATAAATTTAGACCATTTATTGCAAAAAGTAGTTTATTATTAGCATTGAGCTATTATGTACTACGTAAGTACGTATTACTTCAATGATTATTAGACGTCATGTTTAAACTAGAATGTTTTTAGAATTCCCGCGCAAAATATGCCAATTAAAATGTAAAGTACGGAATTTGACAGCAAATGTCAAATTTGACGAAGACTGGCGCCGAGGTCAGGGGCTTCTTTCGTGAAATGGACTGTTCTTAAACAATTGCTTAAGCCCAATGCTATCTATAAACTATTTTCTTTAATAAGAAGAACAACGTATATAAATCACAGATTAATAAATAAGTAACAAGCGCTAATATAAATATATTACAGCAAACTACGGTCATTTTCGGCCGTTTCGAGAATAGAAGTTAGCTATTATAACACTAACAATATGCTAAACTAATTTTGAAATTGCCAAGTACTTTTTTTACACAATTATCGTGCCAACGAAACGAACTTTTAATTAAACTACAGTTAATAAATATTTAAATTCCCTCCATTTACACAGTAACACTAGATTGACTTATAAATTTTATTTTATAATACCGAGCAACGTATATTGTAAGTCGAGTTCACGACTTAAATGCTGTACGGCATTCTCAGGGATGTCTTGTATTAATGAAATGAATGCGACAAATATCACATAATTTACGAATATACGAGTACCTTAAGTCTAATCTTGATATAAAAACTACCCTTAATTTTGTTACTGTTACTAGATTTGTTAAATTATTAATACCTTATAGTACGATTAGAATAATCATCCACGACTTTTTCTACCACCAGGGCGGCGCCACTTAAAAATGAAGTGTAATATTTGACAGATTTCATAGCGGGGAAGTTAATTTGTTCGGAAAATGTAAAGGTTAATGTTTCTTTCTGTATTGTTAGTTAGATTAATAATAAACAAACCAAACCACAAATATTAATAAAAGTAAAAAATTAAAAAAAAATGTGCAAAAATTAAAAAGCAAACCACTGAGGTTTTGTTTTGTGTATTAATATAATACTCTAGAAACTGATAAAATTTTATATATAACTCAATTTTTTATTAAATGACATTGCGTAACAAAAATACTTCACCTCAGTGTCAACTAGCGACATCTGGTTAGCGGAAGATTATTATTCATCATTAATTAAAAAAATTAATAACATACATTCAGAGCTAAAACAAAACAAAACTTTGCTTCGGCACACATAAATATTGGAAATAAAATCACTAAAATGCTTAGTAATCACTTAGTTACAAAAAGCCATAAAAAATGTCAGGGAATTCTTTGATGCTTGTATTTATGTTATATTTGGTATAAATAAATCGATAGCAAAAACCGTATTTCACTGTATTCAATTATTGAAAACTCATCTAGCAAATTTACGGACGCTAGTGAAAGAGCGTACGCTGCCGCGGTATATTATGTCACCATGGACGAGCGTGAAGAAAGGCGAATAACATTACTCGCCGCTAAGGCACGAGTAGCGCCGTTGAAGCCGATTTCCATTCCAAGGCTTGATTTACAAGCAGCTCTTATGGGCAGCCGACTAGCAGCATCGGTCAAAGAACAAAGCAGATATGATGGCAGGTTGAAACCAGTTTATTTTTTGGCACCTATGGCAAATATCTCTATAAGAAAATCGATGGGGGTGGCCTATGTTCAATAATGGACTTCAGAACATAGGCCATTGGCTCACTCATAGGCTGTAATGGTAAGTGTTATACATAACTAAAGTTTATATTTTGGTACATTTACCGACCTAGATAACGCTCAAATGACATATAAAATCATTCTTTAAATAGCCGTGTAATATGCTAAAAGCGCGGCAGAGGCAGAAGTCTTTATTATTTCTCTGTGGTATTGCCACCTTAGTATCAAGATATTGAGTCAAAATAAAATTTTGCAAATAATTTGTATATAATATATCAGATGCAATTAATAAATAAAAGTTAAATATAGACACAAAGTTAAAATGATATGGTACATTATAACAAAGAACACTATCATATTACAATACATCAAGTGAAACATTTAATTATAGTATTACCAGACAAAAAAAATTACTATTTGCATTCGTACTATATCCATTTTAATCGATTTATCATTACAGATTGTCATAGAAATTCTACCAATATCAAAAAGATAATTGTTCACAATTCAGCATCTGCAGCGCAGCGTTCCTTGACGCTAGAAAGCTCTAAAAATTTCCCAATTTTCTGAGCAGCGCTCGCAGCGCTTTAGCTCGACGCTAGGAGCAGCCATGGCGTTGTATCCAGCTAGTGTATCGTGCAACGTCATTCGCACTGACAGTGCGCCGTGTTTTTTCAACTGCCGCGTTCAAATCTTCCTTAGAAACTGGAGCTTCGAGTTCCGCCTGTTTCAATCGGCGTATTTGGTCTGGACTTTTGCCGGCAATTTTCTGACGCATTGTCATCATTGCCGCGTCTCTGTTGAAGTATAAAGAAATCATCAGGATACAATAATTGTATGATATTCTAAAATCATTCTCGCTCTATACCTCACAGAATACCAGCGTAAAATAGCAGCGAAATGCTACTGTGTTTCGTATGGTGAGTGTAGAGAACCGGAGACCCTTTTTACTGGCATAGAGGCATTCCATCTTAGTCCTCACGGATGACAACGCATCTGCATCTTGAGACTTTATTGAGGATAGATGTAGATGTTTATGGGTCACAGTAACCACTTACCATCAGGTGGACTGTGTGCTAGTTTGTCACCCTATCCTATAAAAAAAAGTGTGTCGCAAATGACTTAATAACGCCAAAGTTTTTTCAACTGGAAAAGATGTTTCGATGGTTTGCTTAAAGGCTGATTAAGATCAATAATTGCGAAAATGATGCTCTATAACCACTTCCAGTTTACAAAACAATTTATTAATTTGGAGAGAATATAAAAAAAAAATCAATGTCAATAACGTCACATTACCTGCATATGTTACAAATGTCTGAGCCGCTGTAGCCGTCGAGTTTTGCTGCCAATTCATTAAAGTCTACGTCATCTGTGAGTGTCACCTCACGAAGACAGAGCTTAAGGAGTTTAATTCTTGTGGCCTCTGTAATGAGATGCTTGATTTTAGATGCATACGACGGTCTGACGGCATTCTATCTTAGTCCTAAGTGACAATGCATTTCTGTAGACTTCGTTTTTGAAGCTTAAATTAAAGCCATTAAATATATATTTTCAGTATCGGCTCGTATAAATCCTCTACCAGACGTGGGCCTCTGTCATTGTAATAAGTTTTTCTTTAAGCGTCACATTTCGCAGGCCGATTGACTGTCGCAGTACCAAACCTAATCCCCGTCGCAGGGCTGGATATTTTACGTCTGGCGTAAATTTAGTGGTTATTATATTATGCGAGTATTTTTGAGTTTATTCATCGATCGCCATAAATTGCTTAAATAATTAAGCATGCATGAAATTTAAGTTTACAAGCTAGTCATATAGTAAATATCGTAGGTTATCTCCTCCTTTCCTTTTATGTAATTTTAATGAACTAAGCGAATGCGTCAGATATTCTCAACTTAAAAAGATTCTATAATACATTAACTGGCTAATAATGATCATTTTCGATTAAAATACTTTACCATCAGGAAGGCCAACGTATATCCTTTTCTCGAAACGTCTCCTAAAGGCTTCATCGATATCCCACGGATGATTTGTGGCTGCCAGCACCATTATTACTTTGTCTTGATTGCTAGAAATAAAAAATTATATAATCAAATATTGATTTCAATATAATATCATTTTTTATATAAATCAATGTAGCAAAGCAATACGCTAGAAGCACTACGCTCGAAGTTGTCGACGAGAATGTTTACCTAGGACAAAAATAGTCCAACTAGGGGCAAGTACAATTTCGATCGAGAAGTCAATCGGCGGATTCAAATCGGCGGGGCAGCGTTCGGAAATAACGACACATCTCGTCCATGGTCCTTCACTGCTGGCCATATGAGGAAGCTCAAGGTCGCGCAGCGAGCTATGGAGAGCGCTATGCTCAGGGTTTCACTACGTAAGAGACTTAGAAATGAGGATATCCTCAGTAGAACCAGAGTAGCCCAACGGATTAGTAAGCTGAAATGGCAATGGGCCGGCCATATAGCTCGAAGAACCGACAACCAATGGGGCAGAAAGGTTCTCGAGAAGTAACCTCGTACGCGTAAGCGAAGTGTAGGCCTAGATGGAGTGATGAATCGACGTGAGAAGTCGATGGATGAAGGTGGCTCAGGGTGGCATTTTCTGGGAGAGGCCTATGTTTAGCAGTGGACTTGTGAATGGCTGTAAGTATGACAATGATCATGATGATGATGATGATGATGAATTAATACAATTTTGTGACACCGTTTAGATTCGACTACAAGAATATAATTGTATTAGTTACAATAATTATCCCGAGGTGTGTAACTAATGCAACTACTAAAATTGCGGCTGCCTTTGTGCCTATCTTGATCTGAAATTTTGTCTCAAGCGTGCTCTGTGGTTGTGAACCGCGATGGACGGCGGCGCATGGCGGTCTGGTGGCTATACTGACAATCGATCCATCGCAAATTATCCACCTTGCGCTCACCCGACTTGCGATCATCTCCCGCCAGGTTTGTAGGGGTCGCCTCCGCGGCGAACCTGAATCGGGGGAGGCGCTGTCGTCGCGCTACACTCATAAAGACTGATGCATTCTGTCTTAGTCCTCAGAGGTGACAACGCATCTGTAGCATTCGTTTTTTGAAGATGGCTGCAGGTATCTATGGACTGCAGTAGCCACTTACCATGAGGTCTTATACCATTTGAATGGTCTAAACCATGATGTAGACTTTAAGTTCGTTTGTTACTTGTTTTATAATAAAAAAAACAAGATTTTTTCTTCTTTTTTTGAATATTTATACGTGGTACAGCCATGCTACAGCTATATTAATAGTACAGTTGTGGCACGATTGTGTCGGCTCGACCGGGGAAGGACCACGTAGCTTAATGCTGCTGTGTTTCGTTTGGTGAGTGTAGAGTAAATGTAGAGAGAATCGGAGACCCTTTTTACTGGAAACCAGCGTAAAATATAAGCTTAATGCTGTTGTGTTTTGTTAGGAGAGTGTAGAGAACACCGGAGACCCTCTTTACTGGAAAATAGGTATTCCATCTTAGTCCTCACGGCTGACAACGCATCTGCATTTTATTCGCAAACGAGGATAGATGTAGATGTCTATGGGCCGCAGCAAGCACTTACCATCAGATGGACTGTGTGCTCGCTTGTCACCTTTATCCTATAAAAATAGTAGTTCAAGTACACATCTCCTGTTTCTGTTTCCCTCACGATACCTCGATATGATATGGGGTAGTGGATTATCATCTTACACCGCCACTACCCTGCCGAGATTCATCACTCCAAACAGATCGAATTTACACAAAAGTTGTGGGACTTAATAACAAAATTAAAAACATCAAACTGTACGTACAAAACAGCGGCGAGCCCGTCCATCTGTATTAGCAGTTCCGCCTTGAAGCGTCGCGACGCCTCATGCTCGGAGTCGGCACCGCGAACCGCGCACAGTGAGTCCACTTCGTCGATGAAGATAGTGCTGGGCGCGTAGAACGATGCCTGTACGAACCAGTGGGATTAGCCCAGTTAACAATGACCCTTGGAAATGAGCTTCCAAGCTGTTTCTTTAATACATTTTTAAGTAATCGTAAAGCCTTTTTCTTATTATATAATTTTACTTTGAAATAAAGTCCTGTTGGGTTTCTTGGGAGTTAACCTTGTTAACAATAACCCCTGGGAATGAGGTGATTGCATCCAAGCTGTTTCTTTAATAAGTGTTGTAAGTAATTGTACAACCTGTGTTTTATCGTATAATTTCAATCCAAAACAAAAATACGGTTCTTCTTAGGACAGGAGTTTTTCCGAACTGATAAAAGTGGCGTCGTCGTAATACAACGCGAATGGGCGATCATCGCAAGTTCGCGCGAATTTTAGTCGTACGTACACGCGATCAAACATACTGATCTCGAATAGGTCTCCTAATTGGCATTCGCGCTATGGTTTCGCGCGACTTAATTCATTGAAAATCTCTTCTCGCGAACTTAGTTCGCGATCAAACATATTGCTGTCGAATAGGTGTCCTAATTGGCATTGGCGCTATGAGGTCGCGCGACTTAATTCTTTGCAAATCTCTTCGCGCGAACTTAGTTTGCGATCAGACATATTGCTATCGAATAGGTATCCTAATTGATATTCGCGCGACGATCGCGTCGTGTCGTCGGGCAACGGGGTGATGAGCAGGGACCCGACTTTTATTGATTGTGAAATTCACCACGTATCGGTCTTATTTCCAACAAAGCACATTGCGACACACACGACATTGCACATTTTTTTTTCATTGCTGTCCACCAGCAGAATAGGTCATCCATATATTTCTAGAAAGTAAAAACTGGACGTTTCTGACGTCCATACTTAGCGCCAATGCCATGCGCAAATTGCGCAGCAAAGCGGAACCCGCGGCCGCTCGCATCGAAAATTCGGGCGATGATCGCATATTCGCGTTCTATTAGTACACCTATATATATATATATATATATATATATATATATATAGTTTGTTGGTATCGCGCGAGCACGCGATGGTCGCATCGCTTACTTGCGCGATAATCGCATAACCGCGTTGTATTAGGACGACGCCTAACAAAATGACTTTCATTGAGAATTAATGTAATCTATGTTGAATAAAAATTATTCTTTTCTATTCCTGTCTATTCTGACTTTCTACACGAGTTAATGTTCTCTAACCTAAGACAACGAAGCGCTTTACGCCCGTTTCAGTTGTTATAGTGAAGACGCTGCTGCCAATCTCCTGGTATTTTTCCTCTGTAGCCTCTTACGACACCCACGGAACGACATAGGATCGTGGATATTCTCACTCCGCCACTACGCGGTATATGCTGATATCCGTACACTATACAGTATAATTACAATTAAAATTGGTACTGGAGCAGGTTAACACTTAATATGGTTTTTCAACTGCCAGTCTCGTCTTTGTAAACGAGTTATGTACGAGAAGTGCTTGTAAGAATAATCCGATCAGTTCTAAATAAGCGCAGTAAACCGGGTTCGATACCCGCCGAAATCAATGAAATTATTTATTACAATTTTAAGTCTTAATTTGCAACATGCTCGGCGATAAAGGAAAACTTTTTTCTTATAGAATAAGGGTCACAAACGAGCACAGAGATTACTTGATATTAAGTGGATCTGTGGCCCATAGACATCTACATCTATCCTCAAATATAAATCAAAGTGTAGAGATGTCACTCCTAAGGACTAAGATGGAATGCTTCGTTTTCAGTTAGAGACAAACATCCTGAAGAAGCCAGAAGTCAACAAAACACATTAGAGCAGCGCGATAGACTAATCGCTTCATATCCCTCTCAGAAATGTGCCTAACTGTGGGACGTATGGAGGCTCCTTTTCAAATACCTTGCATATACTTTACATTAGATTCTTCCAATGGAAATTCAATGGATACGTACCATGTCGAAAAGTAGTCGCACAAGTTTTTCCGAATCACCCCGATACTTCGAAGTGAGAGTAGCGGAGGATACGTTGAAGAAGGTAGTTCGACACTCTGTAGCCACTGCGCGGGCTAGAAGCGTTTTCCCCGTACCCGGAGGACCAGTTAAGAGCACGCCTTTCCATGGACGACGTATACCCTATGAACAGTAGTTCAATAATACTTTATAACTAATAAGAATTAAAATATAAAATTAAGCTAGCATACCAGGTGGAAGGACTTATTTTCAGCAAACGAAAAGTAGCCATCTATGCAGGACAATATATTGTATAGTATAGTGCACGAGTGCGTGCGCAAGCACAGGTGCACTCTTTATTTCTTCACTCTCATAGTCTGATGGGACGGAAATACGACTCGATCAGAAAGAGATCAGGTGTAGCACTAACGGTCTTGCATGATTTCCGAGACATAGGGGTGAAGCAATATCAACTTACTGACTCCGGGCTGCTACTGAAAAATTCTTGAACTAGAAAAACCCAATAACTCATTGGGTTTACCCACGTCTACCAATCGTAAGTGAACCGCATACGTGTTTCGCACCGTAAGTGAACCACATCTGGTGTGTTTCCACATAGAATCTAATACATACGCACTACACCCATATTTAGTATTTTTTCATACATTCATTCAGTATAGTCCATCAAAAGTCAAAACATAGGCTTCCCTCATACATCGCCTCATAGGAGAAATCTTTACCATAGTTACTACACTTGGTAAGCGAGTTGGCAAGTCATCAAGATGATGTTGAAAAAAAAATTAAGAGAGAAACTGCAACAGGAGATGGACAAATCTCCAGTTTCCCTCTGTCGCCTCTTACGACATCACCAAATACCAAATATTCTTCACTGCCATAAAACGAGAATTATTTGGTTTTATGCAGTACTTACGATGAATGTAACAATCAATCGATAGACATAACCGATTAAAACCGTTCACCGCGTGAACTAAGTCCTCGGTATGATTGATTATAAAAAAATCATAGTTGCGGATTGCGGATTTTAGGATCAAATCACAAAGAGAACCAATAAATGATGTACTAAAAGAAAATTTATTGCATTGCCTTTTCAGCTTACTAATCCTTTGGGCTATGTCTGTCACTCTGGTTCTACTGCGAATATACTCATTTCTAAGTTTATCACGCAGAGATACCCCGAGCATAGCCCTCTCCATAGCTGGCTGAGCGACCTTAAGCTTCCTCATACGGCCAGCAGTGAAGGACCACTACTCAGTTCCAGAAGTCATTACTGGCAACACGCACTGGTTTTACAGTCAGTCAAGTTTTGAGGTACACCTGACGAGAACATGTGTTGTAATTTCCCTGAATGTGTACTGACTTCTCTTTCTTCCTATTTCTTTTCCTTTCTGAACGTGTATTAACACTCTCCTTGTACTGCACAAATTTAATGTACATTTTGACTAGGTGTTAGAATACTTCTTCTAAGAGATCGTCTGGGTAAGTACAACTTTCTCACTTAATTCTACCGCCAAATAGCAGTGCTGCACTAAGCAGTTCATTTTTTTAATGGAGAGGGGGCAAACGATCATGCGGCTCACCTGATGGTAAGTGACTACCGCCGCCCATGAACAACTGCAACACCAGGGGAATTGGCTCTTTTCTTGAAGGTGCCTAAGTCGTATCGGTCCGGAAAAATCGCTGGTGGTAATCGATTCCACAAGGAAGGAATAATTACAGACTGAGGCATTCCATCTTAGTTCTAAGTGGTGATAACGCACCTTTAGCCTTCTTTGTTTGAAGTTGGCTGCAAGTGTCCATATATAGCAACAGCTAGCCACTTACCATCAAGTGGACTGAGTTCGTTTGTCAGTTCGGTTTTATAAATAAATGTATGTGTTTGCATTTTTGCTGCACTACAATATCCAGCCAGTCAGACAGGTGACACTATTATCTGATTCTAAAATTGAATATACCTTGAAGTAGTCAGGCATGACCAGTGGCAACACCATCGCCTCTTGCAAAACCGCCTTAGCGTCGTCCAGCCCGATAACATCCTTCCAGCGTACGTCTGGATTCTTTTGCAATATATCTCTCTCCAGTGTTTCAACTAGATGTAACTCATAACCGCTTGTATCAAACACTTTCTCATCCTTCTCCAGAATAGTCACATCACCGTAGGTGGGACCGTCGGACTTTCGTATTGGTTTTATTGGTGCCAGTTGTCGCTTGGGTCGTGGAATTCTTTCTACGGATCGGCATTTTCTACTGTTGCCGACGGAGGCTGATGTCGACGATGTCTTTCGGGAGACGATTGAAGGTAGAGTAGGCTGTATATCAGGGTCGCGTCTACGAAGTGTTCCCGCCCACTTTTCCGTAGTTGGGTCCGTTTGCTTGGCTTGATCCATGGATGACTCTTGAAAGGTGGTCGCTTGTGTCGGCCTGACAACTGTAACACAAATAACTTCTTGTTTTGCAGTAGAAAATCATATGAGATATAACCTAAATTTGAAGTAGTACACAGAGAATTTAGAAATATAATTAAATTTAAAATTAAATGAAAACAAAACATTTTACTTGTAGTATTCACGTAAAAGTTCACAAAGATAAATTCTAGTAAAAGAAGGTATGCTTGGATGGATGGATATAGCTTCCGATGGATAAAGGGTAACCGAAATTGTTATTAAAAATATTCAGACAAGGAATAAAACCTCCAAGGGACGTCTTTGTGGTAACCAATCTTGGCAAACAAAAGTCCTTAGGAAATGTAGTAAGTATGATTATAAAAATTTTTTGTACGCATTATTATAATCATCATCATCATTACAGCCTTTCATAAGTCCACTGCTGAACATAGGCCTCCCCAAGGAATGCCACAAAGCACGGTCCTGAGCCATCTGCATCCATCGACTTCCTGCATATCTTACTACTGCGGATATACTCATTTCTAAGTTTATCACGCAGAGAAACCTCGAGCATAGTCATCCCCATAGCTCGCTGAGCGACCTTGAGCTTCCTCATACGGCCAGCAGTGAAGGACCACATCTCAGATCCGTAAGTCATCACTGGCAACACGCACTGGTTGTACAGTTTCGTTATAAGGTTTTGAGGATTGTCTGATGAGAAGATGTGTCGTAGTTTCCCGAACGCTGCCCAGCCGAATTGAACCGTCGATTGACCTCTCGGTCGAAGTTGGACTTACCTAGTCAGACTATTTGTCTCAGGTAAACATACTCGTCAACAACTACGAGCTTAGTGTTCCCAACAACTACCGGCATAGGTGTGACATGGACATTAAACATGATCTTTGTTTTGTCCATGTTCATCCTAAGACCTATTCGTTGGGAGACACTATTGAGGTCATTGAGCATGGTGCTTAGGTCCTCCGGCGATTCTGCCATAAGGACTATATCGTCGGCAAATCGAAGGTGAGTGAGTGTACTCGCCATTGATGTTAATACCGTATCCTTTCTAGTCCAGAAGCTTGAAAACGTCTTCCAATGCAGCGGTGAAGAATTTCGGGGATATAACATCACCCTGTCTTACACCTCTCTGCAATTGGATAGGTTTCGTACTCTGGTTCTGTACTCGGATAGCCATCGTAGCTCTACTGTACAAACACTTCAGCACTTCGATATACCGACAGTCAACTTGGCACCGCTGAAGGGACTGCAGCACTGCTCAAATTTCGACGGCATCAAAGGCTTTCTCATAGTCCACATACGCCAGACATAGTGGCAAATTGTACTCCTCGGACTTCTGTACAACTTGCCGAAGGGTATGTATGTGGTCTTTGCCCTTTCGGAAACCGGCTTGTTCGGGAGGCTGGAAGTCGTCAAGTATGCGCGCGAGACGATTCGTAATGACTCTCGAAAACAAGACTGTAGACGCGGCTCAGAAAGGAAATCGGTCTGTAGTTCTTCAAAAGAGCGTTGTCACCTTTCTTGAAGAACAAGACCACCGCACTTCTGCTCCACGCCTCCGGTGTAATGCCACCATGGAGGACGGAATTAAGGAGCTTCTGAAGGACTTCAAGTACCGGTCATCCACCCGCTTTCAGAAGCTCCGCTGTAATTCCATCCTTGCCTGGGGCCCTGCCGTTTTTAAGGTCCTGGAGAGCCATTCTAATCTTGCTCAGACTGACGTCCAGGATATCTTCGGAATAGTGTCGGATAAAACTCGCTCTTGGACCGTTACTCACACTTGCGTGTTTTTTTTATAGGATAAGGGTGACAAACGAGCACACAGTCCACCTGATGGTAAGTGGTTGCTGCGGCCCATAGACATCTACATCTATTCTCTATTACAAATCAAAATGCAGATGCGTTGTCACCCGTGAGGACTAAGATGGAATGCCTCATTTCCAGTAAAAAGGGCCTCCGGCCACCTGCACTCACCAAGCGAAACGCAGAGGTAAACCTCTACTTCACGCTGGTATTCTGTGAGGTCGTGGTACCACCCCGGTTCGAGCCGGCCCATCCGTGCGACAGCATAAGCTACCGCGTGGCTCTACCACTGTTAAACAACGTGTGGCTCCAACGATGACGTGTACAGCTGCCCATAGAACCTCTCAATCTCACTCAAAATCTCAGGTGCCCCGGAAACGATGCTGCCACATTCTGTCTTCAGCTTTGACAGTTGGCTCTTTCTGGCAGACAGATCTCTGGCAAAGACTTTGGAGCCTTGGTTCCGCTCGATCGCTTCTTCAATACAAGCTGTATTGAAGTTGCGTAAGTCCCGCCCCATGCATTTGGAGATCTGTCTGTTCAGTTGCCTGTATGCTGTCAAATCTGTTGAAGAATAAGCTACATTCTTTCATCTCCCGTCTAACAGCCATGAGATTGAGAGTGTGATCGGAGAGTTTTTGTGTTCTTCTGCGGCGGGTCTTGCAGAACTTAGCTCCGACCGCATGGACAGTTTCCAGGAGCTTGTCATTCATATCGTCCACTTCATTGCAGTCTTCTAGGCACTGAAAACGGTTTTGTAACTCGAGCTGAAAGGTTTCGGGGCTTTGGAACAGAGCACGAGGGGGACGGAGCGTTGACTTCATTAGACGAGACCTCTCCAAATTAACGTTTAGGTTCAGTGTGCCTCTAACCATTCGGTGATCGCTACCAGTTTTCACCCTCGCGATCACGGAGACATCACTGAACAGTTGTCGTCTGGTCGTCATAATGAAGTCAATCTCATTTTTTGTGGAACCGTCGGGGCTCAACCAGGTCCACTACCTGTGGGGCCGCTTCTGGAAGAAAGAGTTCATCATAAAGAGTCCCTCTTTCTCCATGAAGTCGGTCAGCTGCTGGCCCCTTGGGTTCCGTTGCCCTATTCCAAATTTCTCTACTTTCAGCTCACCGTTCTCTCTTGTTTCTAGTTTTGCATTGAAGTCTCCCATTAACACCTTATATTGGGTTTTGGAGGAATGCATGGCTCTAGCGATATCCTCATACATTTCCTCCACCTCCTCATCGGGGTGTGCCGAGGTTGGTGCGTACACCTGTATGACCTTCAGCGAATACCGTTTGGTGATTCTGAATATAAGGTACTCAACCCTCGTCGACACACTCTCAATCTTTACAACGTTGTTAACGAGAGACTTGTGGACGATAAATCCGACACCTTGGGACAGATGGTCGCCCTCCTGGTGATAGAGCAAGTTGCCAGATTCGAGGATTACCGTGTCCTCCTCGTTACTTGTCTATCTCTTTTTCCAGCTCCACGATCTTCTAGTCAGTCCTCAGGGTGCGTGCGTTGTATGTTGCCAGAGTCGTCTTAGGTGACAACCGAACCTCCACCGGAGATTCTTAGCACCCCCCGTTACCATGGTCGCCACCGTAGCCAGGAATAGAGGGGCCGCCGGGGACTGGGGGCCGTTTCTTAGTTAATCTCATCTTAGGGGGGTATTTGCCATAGTTGCCACGCTTGACGAGCGGGTTGGCAACCGCAATTTTTTTATTGTAAGGTTGTTGTTATCAGGAAGATGCTGCTGCCCATCGCCTTCCCTTTGACGCCTTTTACGACACCCACGGAAAGATATGGGATAGTGGATATTCTTAACCGCCACTACACGGCAGTTAACCGCCACTACACGGCAGATTATATTCGGAAATAAATATATAAAAACATCGTCACTCATGTTAATATACATAACATCTGATAGTCAAGCAGCACTGCTAGCACCAAGATTATCTAAATGCATTTTAATAACAGGATCGTTTTGTGAAGGGTTCCGGGACATGTGAGAACAATGAACAGGCCGACAAGCTCTCACTGGAGGGTTAAAAAGGACACAATTTGGACCAGAGCAATTTTGTGAAATCTTCAAAAGCCTTGCCTTACCCGATTAAAACAGAAAAACTCCTGAAACCGCTTACTATACTTACATATTACATAAGGACTGGTCTAAAACACCAGGCTTAAATCATTCTACGACTTTAATCCGGACGTATGATCGTATATTTGCATAAAAAGCTCTAGGAATGAGTAAGAATAAACTAAGCATTTAACTTAATTTACATAACCAGTAAGCGAAGTATAGGGCATCCACTGCTGAAGGAGTAGCGACCTGGTAAAAGATGCAGGAAGTCAATGGATGCATGTTGTTGAGATCCGTGCATTGTGGCACTCCTTGGGGGTGGCCTATGTTCAGCAGTGGACTTGTGAAAGGCTGCAATGAGGATGTTGATGATGATGCAAGAAACCAACAACATTACAATGATTATTATCTACTGATAACATATTTTTATTTAAATTGTTAGGCTAATAATAACTCTCTTTATATATTTAAAAAGTAGTAAATTCCATAGACGTTAAAACAACTTTGTTGTTTGCACATAATACATAAGTCAAAGTAGAGCTTAGAGGCCTATGATTATCAGTGAACTTGTCAAGGTTGTAATGATGATTATGAAACTACGTATTTTGGTATGAACGTGGATGTTTAAAATCTAACATAGCTGTTTTTTAGATGTGTAGAATCCAAGGATGTGTAGAACGTTTTTCTTAGTGGAAGAAACGCTTTGCATATCAAACGTAGCATTCGTTTGGGGGATATTTATCTAAGCGCAGAAGAATTGAAAATGCTCAAAACGAACAACTCTTGCAATTTATGAAGATCAAATTAAATCATACGGATTGTAGTGATATTGTTCTTGCAACACCTGAATACCTACTTACAGATTAAACCTACTTACCATGCTGCAGCTATATTAATAGTATAGTTGTAGCACGAAAGGGTCGGCACGACCGGGGTAGGACCACGCTCTCACAGAATACCGGCGTAAAATAGCAGCTTGACACTGCCGTGTTTCGTATGGAGAGTGTAGAGAACCCGAGACCCTTTTTACTGGAAAAGAGGTATTCCATCTTATTCCATCTTAGTCCTCACGGGTGACAACGCATCTGCATTTTGATTCGCAAACGAGGATAAATGTAGATGTCTATGGGCCACAGCAACCACTTACCATCAGGTGGACTGTGTGCTCGTTTGTCACCCTATTCTATAAATAAAAAAATAAAATAAAGCGATTTTGTTAGTTCACATTAACGCCTTGGTAATATAGTATATGGCCTTGGTAAAATACAGTGTAATTTTCAAACAAGTCGTTAGTATTGATATAACCTTGTGTAGGCGGGTGTCGAGTGCCGGTGGCGACGTGCGTATCGGGACGTGTTTTGTCCTTCTTTACCGCACTCCTCTCGGTTCGAAGTCCATCTCTGGGTGGCTCTTGGTTCTTGTTGTCTCCGTGTCTCCGTGCAGTCACTCGGGCGAAACCGAAGGGCTGGAGACTCTCCGCCATCATGCGGTCCATCATTCTCGCCATTTGATGGAAACTTGATGACGGACTGGAAGTGAAAATAAAAAATATATAAATACTTATATATATGCCGCGGCTAAAACCAAAGTCCATTTACACTTAGATTAGACTAGGAGCAGCCGATTGTGGTTGGTTAAACTTAGGTCTATTGCATTTATTCATTTCCAAAATTAGGTATGGTCGGTGCATATGATTAAAACTAAGTTATTAGTTAAGTCCAAATAATATTTAAAATGAAAAAAACACATTTCAAATAATCTCAGCGGCAGTAGGTTAATAACTTTTTTATATGATAAGGGTGACAAACGAGCACACAGTCCATCTGATGGTAAGTGCTTGCTGTGGCCCATAGACATCTACATGTATCTTCGTTTGCAAATCGGTCCGGTTCTCTACACTCACCATACAAAACACAGCAGCATAAAGTTGCTATTTTACGCTGGTATTCAGTGAGAGCGTGGTCCTTCCCAGGTCGTGCCGACACATTCGTGCTACAACTATACCAGTAATACAACTGCAGCATGGCTCTACCACGTTTATTACTTTTGTTAAAATCCACTAAAACAATCAATTAAAACAATACGAAAGCATATATCAAGGTATCAGCGATAGTAGGTGCATGCGCCGCTGAGGTCGCCCATGGGTCAATCCAAAAAGAATCATCATCATCATCAGTTATGTCATGTTTCCCCACGTGTATTCGAAATGTACTTTTTAATTTTTTAGATATACGGATTTTTGATGAGGTGCAAACGAGCATGCGGCCACCTGTCTGCTATACCACGGGAATCGCAGGTGCCGTGCCGGCCTTTTAAAAACGGGTAATCTCGTTTCTTTTAGGCCCCTAAGTCGTATAGGTCCAGAAAATTCGCCGATGGTTAACGATTCCACAAATAAATTTTGCAAGGAAGAAAACTCCTAGTAAGTCGATTTTTTATGGCGGCAGTTGACTTATAATGGGTTGTGCAATGACGTTGATGATGATATGTCTAAATAGAGACTTAATATACAACATCAAACGGGAGAACCTAAGTTTTTGAGAGGATATGTTTTAAGAGTATATTATAACCTTATATTAATTAACCTTACTGCACTATCTATTGCGAGAACTGCAAATTTTATAAGCTGAAAACCTCAGTTTAATTGACATCATTCAAGAGGTAAACGAAACAATTCATATCACATCATAAATGTTTACGTAGTAGAGGCACGCTGAAGCTATATAATGTTTGCAGGACGAATTGGCGGGTTTCACCGGGAAAGGACCAAGCTTTCACGGAATGCTAGCGTAAAATAGCAGCATAATGTTGCTGTGTATCGTGTGTATCGCATCGTGAACGTAGAAAACAAAAGACCCTTCTTACTGGTAACAAGGCATTCTATCTTAGTCCTCAAGGATGACAACGGATCTACATTTTGATTTTTAATCGAGGATTGTTGTGGGTGTCTATGGGCCACAGCATTCATTTATCATCAGGTGGATAAAAAAATAATCTTGTTATTGTTTTTTTTTTATAGAAGAGGGGGCAAACGACCTCGTGGCTCACCTAATGGTAAGTGACTACCGCCGCCCATGAACAACTGCAACACCAGGGAAATTGCAAGTGCGTTGCCGACCTTTTAAAAAGGAGTAAGCTTTTTTCTTGAAGGTCGCTAAGTGAAGTCCGGAAAAATCGCCGGTGGTAAACAATTCCACAGAGAAGTTGTACGAGGAAGAAAACTCCTAGTAAACGCACAGTGGTGGACCGCCAAGCATCCAAATGGTGAGGATGGTATCTTGAATTTTGACACGATGTGCGTTCATGAAATTTGGCTTTTTGGATTATTGTACCCATTTCAGAGATTTTATTTATTTATTATACGTAGTTTATGTATGTAAGTGGAGCATGTGTCCAACAGTGGAAGATATATTAGATATAGCTCTTTTTTTTTTTTGAAAGCTGGTACTTCACATATGGTCCCATATAAATTTGATTAAGGTCTGACCAATACCTTTTGCGTTATTCTTAATAGTTTATATTGAAGTCGGTTGTACGAAATTTCTAATTTTAAATTATTCATATGCAATTTGATATTAAAATTTAAGAGAATTCATCGTTTCTATTCGTCTTGTAGGTGTCGTCAGAGGCGATCGGTCGACTCAGGAAAATGAAAACTGGCGTCATCATTAAAGAGATCGATTCTTATTCTAAAACTAGCTGTTCCCCGCGACTTGTTCAATTTATTACTTCATGGTTTTATTATTTTTCCGTGGAATTCTAATTCTTTTTCTAAAATAAAAGTAGCCGAAATGTTACTCATTATGACATCAACTATCTGCTAATGAAAGTCCCGTCAAAATTGGTCCAGCCGGTTCGGAGATTAGCCGGAACAAATTTATTTTACGATTAGACAGACAAAAATTAAAAAAATTGTATTTTTGTTATAAGTACCGTATATATTTTAAACAGTGGTAGAGCCACGCGCAGCTTTCGCTGTCGCACGGATGGGCCGGCTCGATCCGGGGTGGTACCACGACCTCACAGAATACCAGCGTGAAGTAGAGGTTTACCTCTGCGTTTCGCTTGGTGAGTGCAGGTGGCCGGAGGCCCTTTTTACTGGAAATGAGGCATTCCATCTTAGTCCTCACGGGTGACAACGCATCTGCATTTTGATTCGCAAGCGAGGATAGATGTAGATGTCTATGGGCCGCAGCAACCACTTACCATCAGGTGGACTGTGTGCTCGTTTGTCACCCTAATCTTATAAAAAAAAAATATACTTTTTTTATGCATTTCGTAAAAAGCCTTTATTTTGACATTACAAACGGTCACTTCAATTTTATTTATTTGTATAGATATAGAAGATAATAAAGTATTTCCATCTTTCTTACTTTCTAATATCTCATTTGGAAAGAGTAGACATTATAAGCTAACTCAGAGTGGCTTTTAATGTTTAGCTTCATGTTCTCAGAACAACGTCCACCCCACTGCCTTTTGCTTAATAGGCATGACTAAAGTTGTTACATTTCAAATTTTATTAAGTTATCTATACAAATAAATAAAATTGAAGTGTCTGTTAAAATAACAGCTTTTACTAAATGCATATGAAAGTGTATACGGTACTAATAACAAAAAACAATTTTTAACATTTTTGTCTGTCTGTCTGCCTGTTTGTTCCGGCTAATCTCCGAGACGGCTGGACCGATTTTGACGGAACTTTCACTGTCAAATAGCTGATGTTATAAGGAGTAACATAAGATACTTTTATTTTAGAAAAAGAATCAGGGTACCGCGCAAAAAAATTAAAACTCTTGATATCGTAGTAAATTCTACGCGGGTGAAGTCGCGAGGGACAGCTAGTTATGTATATTTTTTTATAGGATCGGGTGACAAACGAGCGCACAGTCCACCTGATGGTAAGTGGTTACTGTGACCCATACACATCTACATCTATCCTCAATAAAGACTCAAGATGCAGATGCGTTGTCACCCGTGAGGACTAAGATGGAATGCCTCTTTGCCAGTAAAAAGGGTCTCCGGTTCTCTACACTCACCATACGAAACACAGCAGCGTTAAGCTGCTATTTTACGCTGGTTTTCTGTGAGAGCGTGGTCCTTCCCCGGTCGAGCCGACCCATTCGTGCTACAACCGTAATATAGCTGCAGCATGGCTCTACCACGTAGAATATACACGTATATATATATTGTACTGCAATAATTTGTCGAACGAAGAGTTTTTAACAGTTTTAACGTGGACTTAGTATGTAAATTAAGACAACGCGTCGTTCTTTGATTATAAGAACGACAACAAATTCGTTAAAGCCGCTAGCTTAAATACTATACGTATTTTTCGAAATGTTATGAGGAATAAGTGTAATGGACTTTTCGGCATGATAAACTAAATATCAATCAAAGGTTTTATACTTTTACACACCCAAGCAATGGATCCCTCCCGAAGAACTGCCGCAAGCCCCCAACATTTGGGTATAGGAAATCGCCAAATCCAAAATCCATGTTTCTTCTTAATAATCTTCCCGCATTAGGTAACATAAGTATGTTTTTATAATTTAACAAAAAATACAATCCACTAAAAAAGTCACGTAAACATAATTTTTCTCGATTTTTGAAATGCGTCGCTCGCGTTCATTGAAACAGAAAAACCAGACAGTCAGAGAATCCTTTTGGTGTAATCAGTTTTAATTACTATACACTCTGTCAGATAAATTTAGGTGATGTACATATGATGACAACTGTGTTTTGGATCGGTTGCTATGGCAACGGATTTGCAGAAACCTCAATCGCTCTATGGACGCGTGGACGCTTTGCGTTTCAAAAAAAATCACATAGGTCAAATTCACCTTTAGAACCCTTCCAATATAATGTTCAAGGATCGCGACATAAGAAGGTCAACCGTAAACAGAACTTTGTGTTATAAGGTTATTAAAATCTTTTTGGGGCATTTCGTGTCGTTGAACAAGTTGATTAGAATCAATTGACCTCGTTTTGTATTTCGAGGGTCTGTAAGTAAGTAAATAATTTGTCCGTGTTATTGTGCGTACAAAGGAGTGCTTTTCATAATTCATTACTCCCACATTAAATTTGATCATCTTAATCATTTTCCAGCATCTGTCTTTTCATCGGATGTGTAATCTAGGCAACAGTCATTTGTTAAGTTAACTCAGTACGTTCTACCATCTTTGGCTTCATCACCACTATAAAGTTGTATCGTATAATCAAGCAGTGGCCTATAACAGTTAAAATAAAGATCCTAAAAGTTACAAGTGATAAAATTAAAAATTTTGCACAACCGACATTAATAGAAATTATTAAGGATCACTCAAAAACTACTGGTCAGACCTTGATCAAATTTATATGGAAACAAAAAAAAATTCAAATCGGTTAAGGCGTTTTCGAGTAATCGGTGAACCTACATAACAATAAAGATTCGGACGAATTGAGAACCTTCTCCTTTTTGAAGTAGATTGAAAAGTAAAGTAACCTTCTAAGAATGAGAAAGAACCTTCTCTTGTTTCTTAGTTTTAAGGAA